TAGATGATATGTAGATGATTGATAGATGATAGAAGATAGATAGATAGATAGATGATATGTAGATGATTGATAGATAGATGATAGAAGATAGATAGATAGATAGATAGATGATAGGTGATATGTAGATGATTGATAGATAGATGATAGAAGATAGATAGATAGATAGATATGTAGATGATTGATAGATAGATGATAGAAGATAGATAGATAGATAGATAGATGATAGATGACAGAGAAATGAATGATAAAGATGTAGTTAGCCATATAAATACGTATCTTGAAGGATTCGAGCAGTTGATAATGAGCAAGCTAATTACATATCATCACTCCTTTTCTAAATTATAAAAGTGACTGCCAATACACTGACACAGAGAGTATTAAAAAAACTCATTATATAAAGCCATGATCTCTGTGATTGTTCCAGAAAAATAAAGTATCCCTGAAATGATCCATTGGTAGAAACCCATTTCAAGTTTTATGGTCACGCTGATTCAAGAATGCTTAACTTCAAAGTGGTAAAGCTCTTAGCAGGCTTTCCTGTGTGCACTGTGAATCTGATGGAGTCTTTTAAGGAAAGTGACCTTTGGGTTGGTTCTGAGTAAGTGGTCTCAGTGGCCTGTGTGCCTATACCTTGCCTCTTACAGCCCTGGCCCTGTGGAAAGAGACTCTAATGGGACTGCCACTTTCATTAGCTTGGGATTATTTTGAGGGAGAATTAAAATGCATGAAAACTTGAGTGATATTTCCAAGTGAATAAACAGAACAGGGCCTGAGCCTAGCCCCAAACTGACTCACAAAGAGCCATGGGAAAACACTCAGCCACTTTGTGCCTCTGTTTGCTGCCTCTTGTCTCTCAAGCAGACCATGAAGATAAACAGCGTAGAGCCTGTGATGTTCTCAGAGTTTCATGAGGCATAAAGACTTATTTCTGCTTCCACAGCTATGAGCATTGTTAAAGTAAAATGAAAAATAACTGCATAGAGTAGTCTGAAACTCAAATTCCCAGCAATGGATTCCACAGAACGTGGGCCACATGAGCACAACAGTGCACGTGAGGGACTGTGCCTACTGAGGGATTTCCCAGGGATTCTCAACATCTTTATTCTTACCTGTTGTAAATGCAACACAAAGTCCACTTTGTTGATTCATTGCTTCCTGAGAGTATATCTCTGTCAGCCAAGGTCCATCCAAGACACACAGTGCCCCACTCAGCCTGGTGGTCATGACCTCACAGGTGCTGGGCATGTGTTAAGGCTCTAAAAATACTGAAAGAAAGTGAAAAATGAATCCAGCCAAGCCCATGTAAAACTCTAAGCCAGGAAGTTTCAAAGCACTAGAGATTAGAGTGGGCTCAGGAAAAGAACATCCTTGCCCTCATAGAACTGTCAGGTGTAGAGCCTACCAGGTCATACAATAAAACCACATATAGAGGATAAGATAGGATGTGTGCGGTGAATAAACCTGGACAAAAGGACAGAGTTGATGCTCAGATTTGCCAACTGTAGAAAGACCTCAAGAGAACTCAGCAGCAGTAGCATTACTCCTACCGGTCTCTGAGGTATCCTGGCTTCTATGCCGTGTTAAGGATGGAATATTTATTTGATATATAATAGTTACGTGCAATTGAGCTAGCTGTTGAAGATGGTTAATAGGAAGAGGAAAGTCATGGCTGGTCCTCACTTGTCAGCATCTGGTGTCCTTCAGGGAGAACAGAAACAACGCCCCCCACCTCCTGCATCAAAGTGAGCAACACCATGTTCAGCCCCCAGGGATGGGATACCTTCAGGGACCCATCACGATTGCAGACAGGGGTGTAGCTCAGTTGGTAGCTTCATATGCTTGAGACCTTGGGTTTCATCTCCAGCACTGCACAGACCAGGTATGATGCAGCAAGCCTGTAATCCCAGCACGTGTGAAGTGGAGGCAGAGGGATCAGGAGTTCAAGGCCAGTCTCTACTACATCGAGAGCTCAAGGTCAGCCTGGACTAGAGACCTTGTCTACATTTTTTTTAAAGAGGCTTCACTAGAGTATCTACAAGGTACATACCACCAGGGGCCGAATCAGTAAACTCAGTTGTTTGTCTAACAAAAAGTGAATACTCGTTCGGCAGATTTGTAGCCAAAAAGTCCTGGAAAAATACATCTGGAAGAAATTAAAGGTCAGTCTGGTCCAACCATCTCATTATAAGGATGGTAAAACCGCAGCCCACAGAGTAATGAACTTCTCTAGGGTCTCGTGATCAGGAAGTTGTCTATCAGAAACAAGTGTCTGAGACCATCCTCTGTTCTGTGAGGTTAGCACCAGATAGGCCACTGGTCTGTTCATGCTCTGTGCTCTTGGGGGATGAAGTAAGACTCCTCAAGATTCCTCTTCTGGAGGGAGACTCTCCAGTGACCTACACTAAGTTAGAGTACAAGCTCAGGCTCAACACAGTTGTGTTCTGACACTTTCTCTTTCTGATCGTTTTACTCATATTGGTTTTAGCAAAGTTGATCTGTCCAGTTTTACACAGAAGAAACACTAACATAGTGTGCTGGGCAGGGAAGGAGTAGATCAGAGCTCAGTCCTGAGAATGAACCAGGTCAGCAATGAGAAAAGCAGCTTTTCCAGTGCTGTAAGGAACATTTCCACTCCGCTGTGTCTGGGTTTGTCCTTTCTCCTTGTTAAAGGCTCTGAGGCTCTGTAGGAAGCCTGAAAAATATATAAAATATTAAGGTAAGTTGTTCTGACTATGCAAGTCTATGATTCAGCCCAAGCTCCTGCACATTGTAGTAACTGTCATCTTTTGTCTCCTCCTTGACTCACGGCGTAACCTTTAGCAAGATGATTCTTCTATACCTCAGCTTCCTCAGTGACAAAGCAGAGCTAGTAATACCAATCCCATCCTCCCTTGACTAAAAATTTTTATTAGAGTATATTCAAAGAAGGTGACTCTAAAATTGTTCTACATACATGTCACTGGTAATAGGTTCTTATAAATCATCATCATTGTATAAGCGTTAAGTAGAAGGCACCGAGAGATCATCCTAGCACTTAAGATGTAAAAATTAGGTAACATGTTTCTAGTCCATCAATCTTTGCTGCTGTCATCAAACAACTGCATTCTAAAACCTTGTCTTATGAAATCCCTCGGAACATCTAAAGAGTTTTTGTTGTTGTTGTTGTTGTTGTTAATGCTTACCTTTGACTTTTCTGAACTATTCTCCTGAGTGGTTTCTTTAGAGGTACCTGGTCCAGGACCAAGGAAGTACACAGCCCCAACAGTAACTGGTCAGAACATAGACACATGAGGTGACAGGCCATGAATACATCTACCTATGCCATTTCTCTGACACCAGGAACATATTTACCTGTATTTGACTATATTGTCTAACTAAATCCATCTGAAGCTAAGAGCCCTTGCTTAAGAGATGTTCCTACGGGTTCTCTTTGTTCCCAGAGGACCGTTCCTAACTGTTGCCACAGCCTCATTTATCAGTGTTGGCTATTTTACGTGTTGCTGGAACAAGATACTGACGGAAACAACTTACGTAAGCAAAGGGGTTGTTTTGGATCACAGTTCTAGGCTGTGACCCGTCATGGCAGCCGGAGCACCAGGCAGCTGGTCACACTGCATCTCCAGTCAGGAAGAAGAGGCAAGTGAGTACTAGCCCTTGGCCCTTTCTGTCCTCTTTTACTCACCCACAATTAGGGTGCATCCTCCCACATCAACTAGTCTAATCTAGAACACCCACCCACACACACACACACGAGCATGCCCACAGGTTAGTTTCCATGGTGATTCTAAATTTCATCAAGTTGATAATCAAGATAACCCTCACACTGTCAAACCAAAGTAAGCGACTGCATGGAGACCAATCAGAACTACAGACAAATTTCTCTTACAGACATTTATGGCTGGCTCCTTGATAAATGATTAGAAACATTTAATTTGTCTTTCTTGGCCTGGATTACAGCATAATTTAAGATTTCTTTGAGAAAACTTTTCCAATGAGAAAATAACTTGGTGTATTATGCCTCACTTTGTCATACACAGACCAGGTCCCCAGAAGAAAACAATGTGGAGAGTAACTAAAAGTACCGAGTATGCCTCGTTCCTAGCAGCCTGTCTGCTTAAACAAGACCAGAAAAGTCAACAGAGGAGAACTAATAATGCCCGTACCTGCCAAAACTGCAGTCTTTTAATAATTCCTTCTCTTAAACAAAGCATGAATTGTTAACTGAATCCATATAAACTACTCTCTCTGAGGGTATCATTTACATCAAGTCAATCTTAAATTTATGTTTTATAAAGGTCACACCCCAGGCGGCTCACACATCGAAAGTTTATTTAATTTTCCTAAGTCTTATTTATACTAGACACTTTGTAGGACATAGTAAAGGGGGTAAGTCTACTGTCTACATTACAGATTCAGCACCCACATGGACAGATGCATCCTCAAGCAATCACTGAAGTATCCACAAATAACCACAGAAATACATGGCGTTAGAACTAGTGAGGTATAAGTTAACGGCCCCGCCAATTGTGATTAAGAAAGCATGAGGTGCAAGTTGCTCAGCAGCTTTCTAACGAAGCTTTCAAACAACGTGGCCATCAGTTAAAATGTCAGAGGAAGACACGAGATCTGAAGGCCAAATTTCAAACCCCTAAGACAAATACTGTGCCCATTCCACAAAGGAATGAACCTAAGACTCTAGGACAATCGAAGACAAATCCCACCTGTAGCTGGTGACGGTGCCTGTCCGACCCTTTAACACAGAAGAGTGAAATCACCGATTTTTTAATTATTTTTATTTTATGTGTAAGCACATATTGCCTGCATGTAGGTATGTGTACCCGTGTCATGCAATGCCCAAGGAGGACAGAAGAGGCTGCCGTGTCAGATTCCCTGGGACTGAAGTTACGGACAGTTGTTAGCTTCCATGTGGGTGCTGGGATTTGAACCCAGGTCTTCTACAAGAACAGTCAGGGTTCTTAACCTCTGAGCCATTTCTCCAGACCCTAAAACCACTGATCTTACAGGTTACAGAGCTTCTATCAAGGCAGTGAAAACCTCAGTGCCTACACTGCCCTTCTCATGTGCCACACGCGCATGCATGTGTGTCTGTTTGTATTCTTTGAGACAGGGTCTCCCCGTAGCCCCAGCTGGCCTGGACTCACTATGGAGACCAGGCTGGCCTCAATCTCACAGAGATCCGCCTGCCTCTGCCTCCCAAGTGTTGGGAATAAAGGCGTGCGCCACCATGCCCAGCTCATGCTTATATTCTTGTTTAATTTACGTGACTTGTGCTGTTATGTCACCTTTCTTTTATGAACAACCCATTCTAGCCATTGAATACTGGGGATTATTTTACAGTCAACAGAAAATAAAAGCAGCTGGTAAGGAAAATGGGTCTTTAACGAGCCTCCCCCATGAAGAGAATTGTTTAAATAGGCTGGCATGACTCAGCCCGCTCATGGCCTTTAAATGACATGTTTGATCCTAAAGCTGGATCAGTCTGTGGACTGACCTTTGTGGGCGCTGTCATTCCAGCTGGGAAGATGGCTTCTTGCAGCAACATCTGTGGGTCCAAGCAAGCCCAGGCTGACACCGAGGGTGGGCACCAGCGCTATGGTGTGCGGTCCTATCTGCACCAATTTTACGAGGACTGCACCTCTTCCATCTGGGAGAATGAGGATGATTTCCAGATCCAGAGATCGCCTAACAGGTGGAGCTCGGTACTCTGGAAGGTAAGGAGACAGGCAACAGAAAACAGTATTGGAACTGCAGGAGGTTTGATGTCCTCTCTGTGCTTTACTGTGACATTCAATACATCATTCTTCCCTTAGGAAAGAGACTGTAAAATCTGGTCTCTAAATACTGAATAATCATTGATGAGGAGGCTGAGCAGGAGCAGCACAAGCACCAGGATGATTAGTGGTCTTGCTAGTTATTAATCTGCCACTAGCTGTTATTCATATACCAAACACTACGTTCTTTCAGCCTCTCTGACAGGCTAGATTGGTATCTGAGTTGAAAATATCCCCCACAGGCTTGTGCCCTTGACCATTTCCAGCCATTTCCAACTGGTGGCGCTGTTTGGGGAGGTTGTGGCTCTGTTAGCAGGTGGGGCCTCACTGGAGGAAGTGGGTCCCTGGAGGGCCGTTAGGTTTATAGCCTGTTCCTGCTTCCCATCCTTTCTGTTCTTCCTCATCTGCCTAGATGGAAGCAAGTCTCTGCTACCACAGCCAGGAGCTGTCCTTCCCCAACTATGACTGATTGTTCCCCCTCAAACCATGCGCCAAAATAGTTCCTTCCTCACTCAGTTGCTGCTTATAGGAATTTTATCCTTGAGAAAATTAACTAGTACAGTATCATGTGACAGATTAGAATAATTATTTAAAAATCATTAAGTGTTGAGCAAGACTCACTGCTGAAATATGACCCAGGGGCCAGAACATCGGCTCTGTCTTCACCATATACAGGATCATGAGGCTGTTGAAGAGGCTTCATTAGAAAATGCATGCACTGTCTAAGCAATACTTAGTGAGCACTGATAATAGTAAAGAGAGGTTGAGGGGCTGGAAATGTAAACAGAAAACAAGAAAGTCCTGGCCCCAAGAAGCTCATAGCCCACCCCTGAAGCACGTCCCCACACACAGCCCCTAACAGCATGGCACCTGTCATCTGAACAAGAGGACAGAGGTGATGGGGGAGCAATGTTTCCTGAAATCCCAGCAAACACAGGCGTTTTTCTAGATGAGGATCTTTCTGAGTTGGGAACATAGCAGGTCCCAGAGTTCTGAAATAGAGGAAGAGATCCAGTCTGGACGTGGAACTAGAAAAGGGGCAAAGAATCCAGAAAAATAACAAGGCACAGATGGTCTCTGTGCCTTCCCCTAAACCATGTGGAAGGTATGGGCCTTTATCTCAAGAAATATGGGGGCCCACCTGCAGAAGTCAAGCAGGGTGATGACTCCAGGACAATACTGACCGGTGTCTTCCTGGCTACTGTACAGAAAATAGACTATAGGGCAACACACATGGAAGCAGCTAATGAATTCAGAAACTAGCAAAGTGCATGGTGATGATGGTGGTGGCCTAGAGCAGGACTATGCCAGAGAAGATGGCTTAAAACAGTCCATCTCAGCATAAAGTCTAAGGGCCAAGCTGTCAAAATAGTCTAACTAGAAGAAGCCATCATAAAGGACCGCGGACCCTCAGCCTCAGCTTGAGTGGTGGACGGTGTCACGACTTACTTGGATAGAGGGCACTGGCAGAGGGGGGGCGCTCAGGTAGAAACCATGAGTGTGACTTCAGCTGTGTCACACTAAAGGTGACTATCAGACACCAGTAGAGATCTCAAGAGGCCTCAGCTGGTGGATTTGGGGTTGTTCACACATAGAACACACAGAAGGTACCAGCTTGAGATGACCTGGGAAAAGACCATGGGTACTGGAATGATCCAGTGCTTAGAAGTAGAAGAAGAGAGGGAGATTTGGGGAAGGAGACAGAGAAGATGCCCCCTCAGATGACATCTAGGGTGTCCATCAGCCCCAACACTCTGTGCTTATTCCAAAAGATCCCACAAGTTTTGACCCTGACTTTGACTTAAACGTGCAATGTATTAGTAGTGTAGTGGAGCAAGTGATTATGAGCATGGATTTTGGCCTGAGACTCCATGAGCTCCAATCCCTGTGCCTCCGTTTCATACTTCTGTAACTTTGGGTAGTGACACTTCACCACATAAATGCTATAAGACTTAAATGAGACAATATTTAGAAAAAGCATAAAATAATGACTATGGAAGATTCAATAAGCCTCAGCAATCTCAGCAGCCATTACTGCACACGGAATAGAATACTGAGTTCTGAAATGGAAACTCAGTGAGTAACGACCGGGTAAATAGTTGTTAATATTGATGGCCCAAGACCTGTGCTTTTAAAATCATACTAACGTCACTAATTCGTACTAGAGTTAGACAATCCAGCATCTTTGCTCTGTAGAAATCTCAGTGAGATGAATCCTAACTGCCCATGAACTATGTAGTCAAGCCTCGTACAGCTTCTATTGAAATGGCCTCCTTCCTTCCCCTCAGGTCTCTACCTCCTTCTCTCCTCTTTCCTCCTCATTTTTCTCTACATACATTTATATGTGTACATTCAATTTATGTTTCCAATATCTTTAAATACTGCTGACATATAGAACATTCAAGCATTCATGTAGATCCAAAGCATTGATATGTGATTTGTGAACTGCAAGACCAGTAAATAATACACAATTGTGGATTTAAAATAGAGAACTCCTAGTAAACCACCAGCCTCATTCAGATTTTAATATTTTCTCCTTCTGTCTTACACAAGTAAGATACAGTAAACTTGGTTCCCTGCTGCGCTAGGGCCCTTCTTGGGGAAACATGCAAAAGTCCAGGGCTTCATAGAGGCCGTGTTCCAATAAAATCCTTCATGCAGAAGCCTGGTGTCGGCCTGCATAGCCTGGGGAGTCTGTGTTGGAGACTTCAGCTCTACCCAAGCCAGACTGTCAGTGCTCAGTGCCCAGGGTTTGCTGAGAAAACAGCAGCTGCCCTCAGGGCAGATGAAGGAGAAAAATCAAGTGTCTCACTCCCGATGAGATCCTGAATGATCTCCATCCCAGATGGCTCCATCCTGCCCACGCCGCCCGCCCGATGTCCCATTACCCCGCCCCCCTCGGCCTAGCTGGGTCTGGTCTCCAGCAGTTAGTACTGCCTTCTCTGCCAGAACAGCTGTGTTGCAGTGGCTTTGGCTCTGCCTACAGGCTTGGCACACGCTGCGAATTCAGACTTCACCAGCACACAGGGAAACAAGGAAAGTGACACTGGTCAAAATAACCAGTTTCTGGCTGATAGCCCTTACCAGCAGAATTTCTGGAACCCGAGGTCGCTTCCCTGGCCAACCCTGCTTTGCAGCAGCAGGAACTAGATTCTCACACATGCTCCGCACAGCTCAGGTCGGCACCAGAAATCTCGGTGCAACACTGGCCTTGCTGCCATGGGACACCTCGTCGCCTAGCAAGGTCCTTCCTGCTCTCCGCTGCGGTTGATCTCACCAGCCCACAGCCTGCGGATGCTCTGCTGGGCCTAGGTGGGAGCACTCCAGTCCTCCTCACATCAAGGCTCTGACCAGCACAGCAGTGCTCCCTTAGACCAAAACTATTGAACTCACCATTGTGTCGAGACAGTCTCTATGGCACCTGATGGAATTAATCCCCAAATTTTAATTTCCTCCCAGTATTCCAACACGGTACCAGGATTCGGCTGATCTGTCACACCCGCTCTTCCCCCCCATTATGCTCCTGGGAATTTAATCTTGTTCATTCACTGCTCCTCCATGCCACCTTCACAAACTCTCCCCCTCTGTCTTAACATGTCTACAGTCCTTGTCTGGACACACCTCTTGGAGGCTCTCCCAACACCTACACTCATGACACCCTCAGAATGCTTACAGATGGTCATCTCTGACTCTCCCCTCCTCTCCCCTCAGAGATTCTAATGGAAACAGGAAAGAGAGAAAGCTCTGTCTGGGCACTCACTCTCCAGGTCTGACAGAGCGGGACTTGGCCATCTGCGGGCCACAGTTTCCTTTTAGTTTCTGGGTGATTCTCCAAAAATGGATTTTTCCTCATGCTCAGCTCAGGAGCAGGCTGCAGGAAGATCAGTCCCCAGCTCCACATTCAGTAGGCTGAGACTGGCTTTCCTGAGAGTCAGCCTGGAGTGGGAGCTTCGGGGAAGCCAAGGAGACACAAGACAGGGATGCTGCCTCCGTTCCTCGGGAGCCGAGAGACCAAGGCAGACACTTCGATGCCCTTGGCTTCTGAGGCTCGGTGCCAGCTCCTCCAGAGGGAGGTAATTTGGTGACAAATTGTCCCCACGGATATTTAAGTTAATTTAGGCTGTGCATTCAGAATTTTCCAATGTGAGCCATTTTTGAAGTTATAAATAATGGTTAGTCTCTGAAGGTGAATTTACTTACCATCATTTTTAGCAATCTAAAATACTATTTTACACTCAGTTTTCCTGCGGTACTGATTTCTTGTACAGAAAAGCTTCCTGTTTTTTTTGGGTATTATACTGACTTCTGGTTTTCAGTTCCTTCATATATTATATCAAGGAAAATTTGCCCTTATATAGTAGCTAAAACTCTTTTGAAATTAAAATTTTTAAAAATAGAAAATAGGGTTGGGGATTTAGCTCAGTGATAGAGTGCTTGCCTAGCAAGCACAAGGCCCTGAGTTCAGTCCTCAGCTCTGAAAAAAAAAATAGAAAATACGCAAAATGTCAATTAGTGCAATATTACAGGCCTAAGAAAAGGGGAGGGGGCCACACAGATCTGGAGTATAATTTGTTATACCACTTGCTATCTACAGAAACTTGAAATTCATTTCTTCAACCCTGCAAGCCTCAGTTTCCACTAGCTGAGCATGAAAATATCTACTTCTGTGACTATTAAACGAAACAGCATCTACCACGCCTAGGCCGCAGCAGACGCTCAAATAGTACTCTTGCAACAGTCATGGGCTCTGAGTATATTATGCTTCGATTAGCCACGCCTCCTCAAGTAATGTATTACCCCTAACAGTCAACAAATAAATGCACACACTTTAACTAGTCGAGATTAGCCAGTCATGGTGGCACATGCCTTTAATCCCAGCACTTGGAAGGCAGAGGCAGGAAGATCTGTGAGATCAAGGCCTGGTCTACATAGTGAGTTCCAGGCTATCTAGGGATACAGTAAACCCTGTCTCTCTCTCTCTCTCTCTCTCTCTCTCTCTATATATATATATATATATATATATATACACACACACTCAAGATTCAGCGGGGTGGTGGGGTTAAATATTTGTTTTTTCCCCAACCTTGTTACTCTAACTTAAAGCAGTTAGGAACAGAGAATGAAAAAAATGATCTTTTAAAAGTGGATAGCTGTGTTCACTGTTCCTTCTTCCAAGTGGTGGACAACTGTTTTAACACTTAAGCAACATAGCCAACAACTGTACAAGTGATTTGTTTTCAGGTAATAATAGTAACTACTTATTGCAATGTATTAGTCAAACACAAGGGTGAGTGCTTTTAAGTACGATCATACTTAAATCTTCACAGCTGCATAAGGAAGGTACGATGATCATCTGTCATGATGTAAGGTAGGAAATAGCTGGTAAGAATATTTTAAGTAACTTTGCCCCTATGATTCCAGTACAAGAGGCAAGGCTGGAGCCCTAGGCCAAATCCTCTCATCAAAGCATGTGGGCTCCATTCACCACTGGGTGGGTCACGTTGCCTCTCCAGTGCTGTACTGGCAAATTTTCATTGTCAAGTTGATTGCATTAAGAAAGGCCCAGGACACTAGGGAAGCATGCATTTGGATATCTACATAGATATTTCCACAGAGAATTTACTGAATGAGGCCCTCCCTGGATGAGGCAGACACCGTCCCATGAGCTGTGGTCCTAGATGACAAGAGGGAAAAGGGAGAAAGCAGCCAGCTGCCACCATTCCCCTGCCCCTGCTTCCTGACCTGGAGAGATGTGAGCAAACAGCCTCACATTCCCGCTGCCACGGAGCAGCCCCAGCCCCTTCTTTCCCACCATGTTCGACTGTATCTCTTTAAATCACACACCCAAGTGAATCCTTCCTTACGTTGCCTTTGCCAGGTTACAGCAGTGACGGAGGACTGTCACACAGCTCTGCTGTGTTCCAGGAGGCCTTGCCCAAGACACTGTGCCTTCCGTTGCTACTCTAAACATGTTGGCATCTGCACATGTGCAGCTCACACAGTTACACGAGAGGTGATGCAGCACGGGTCTGGGGTCAGACCTATGGCTTCCACACACTGCCTCTTTAGCTAGTGACTTACCCTCTGGAGGCTCCACGTCTTTAACTGGCAACTTTAACTGGTATGAGCCTTCCCTGCTTACTTTAAAAAGACATCACCAGCATTGATAAGAGCTGTCACTGTCCCCGGGCCCCAGCCACCAGGAACAGATCTGTCTATTCATGTTGGGTTTGTCACGAGTTACAGTGAAGAAAATGCCACCATGGGCACTCGGCAGGCGGGAGTGAGGAAAAGTGATGATGTGGCTTTGGTTGGGGAGTTCACAAAGGGTCTACAGAAGTGAGAGAGCGCTCTGGATCTCTGAGTTATTAACAGCTACTCCTATTGGCCAGCGGGAGACGGGGAGGTATTTCTCATTCTGTGTCCTGCCTTGTTTGGTGTGTGCTACGACAGACTCATAATGCCTCCCACTCTATCACAGTCACAGAATAAGATTGTCTGAGCTGACACTGTGTAGTATGAACTCCTGGCAGCCTCGGTGACATCGAGGCCAAGGAGAGAGAGTTAAGGCCAGCCCCTGGTAGTCTTGGTGACACTGAGGCTAGGGGAGAGTCAGGAGCCCCTGGCATCAGGACATCAGAGCAGCCTCCCCCTTCCCCAACACCAAGTGAGGTGATGTGAGCAAAAGCAGTTTCTTCTTCAACTTGTACACACAGAAAACAGTCAAGAGCTGGCACTGTGCTTCTGGCTGCTGTTAAAAGCAGAAAGGTCTTCCTTTCAACTTACATTTTAACTAGAAAATTAAGTCCTTTTCTCATGCAGATCGGGGGTCACTGGCATAGGCTCTGAAGGAGAATCGGTGCCTCCCACTCTCTGTTCTGTCTCTCTAGGTCGGACTCATCTCAGGCACCGTCTTTGTGATTCTCGGGTTAACTGTCCTGGCAGTGGGCTTTCTTGTGCCTCCCAAAATCGAAGCCTTTGGCGAAGCCGATTTCGTGGTAGTCGACACACATGCTGTGCAGTTCAACGGTGCCCTCGACACGTGCAAGCTGGCGGGGGCTGTGCTCTTCTGCATTGGGGGCACATCCATGGCGGGGTGCCTTCTGATGTCTGTGTTTGCCAAGAACTACTCCAAAGAAGAGAAGTTCCTTCAGCAGAAGTTCAAAGAGCGGATCGCAGACATCAAGGCCCACACCCAGCCTGTTACTAAAGCTCCAGGCCCAGGGGATACCAAGATCCCAGTCACTTTGTCCAGGATTCAAAACGTACAGCCTCTATCAGCCACCTGAAATGTTTCCCACCTCAGTCCTCCTCTCTCTGATTCACGCGCATCATCGTTAACAAACATAGCCAGTTTCTGAAGTGATAAGCATTTGGCAGTGACCCATTCCTAGACCTATGTTGAGCTGGGCACAATGTCGTGCTGCCTCAGTTCAGGTGACAGTGAATGTCACACATCAACCTGTGCCCTGCTGCAGACGGCTTCAGGGAGCCCCTCTGGAGCTCCTGTGTCAGATAGCGTGACTTTGTGTTATTTTCTGTGTACTTGAATGCACTGAGTGCTTTAGGCCAGCCTACCAATGGTCAAAGTGATCCACTTCGTTTTCTAGGTTTTTCTGGTCCTTCTTTGTGGTGCTGTCTCTCATGGCTGTCCCTGTGCGATTCCATCATGTGCTCATGGAAGCATTAGTCTTTTAATCATGTCCTAACATGAAAGTCCTAAGCCTGGGTACAAATGTGTCAGCGTTCCACACCAACCTTGTTGTTCCCTCCACATTTTTTCCTTATCACTTAAAAAGGTAACCTTGCCCATTTTAGAATCTTGGTTAGGAAAACAGTAATGTTAGGGGTATGTGTTTATGCAGCATCTGAAGACACCCCAAAGCTGGGAAACTTGAGTTCTGACCTTTAACTTTGTCACGACTTTGTAGAAATCATTTGTTCCCTGGGCCTCCGTTTCCCCACCTATACAATGAGGATCTAAGGACCATCCCTGCCTAAGGACCCAGGGTTCTTGTTCATTAATGTGCCATTTAATCACTTCCCTGAAGATGTTTATGATGGTCTTGTTGGGGTTTTTTCAGAACTGAACTCCAAGAACGTCCCCGACTCTGTAGACGTTACAGTGTTTACCCTTAAATATCCAACCCCAGCGGTTTAGGCGAGGCTGTCCTATTTTTATAAAGACAAGAATAAACCACCCTCAAATAAGAAAGCCCTGGGTCAATGTTAACCTAAAAAGTGTTTTCATCCCCGCACATAAGGGGACACCAAGATCCCGGTCACTGTTTCCAACAACGTTGGCCCCTCGTTCCTTGCACTTTAATCTGCAGATTTAAATTAGACTAAAGGAAAATGAATCATGTGTCCTTGCGGTCTCTCAGAAGGTGTGTCACCTTAGAGTTTTGTCATTACATGCATACATGTGTTCCTCCTCCACTGGAGACCTAAGTGAACGAGCACCAGAACTGTCTGTGTCACTTCGCCAGTGTGGCTCTTTCCAACATGTAATTTTCCATGCTGAGGCTGAAGAGGCACTGATGTCTCCCTGACTAAATGGAAGAATAAATGAGGCAATTAGTGGTCCTTGTGTGCAGTGTTCATTTTACATCCTGCAGCACAACACATAAGACAGTCGGTGTCCTCAGCAGGGTTTAGCCACCAGGTTTTGGAGAAATTGTTCTGGTTTCTTTGGGTTCTCTGCCTTCACGTGTAAATAGCACTTTAATTTTATTCTTGGGGACCTTATGCAAGGTCCCCAAACGTCTGTGCTGAGCAGCTGGCCTGGACACTATGCTCGCTTCTGTACAATGCATCTTGGAGAATGAGGCTTGACTTTGAAAAGCCCCAAGAATGAAAGATAGTGGGCGGTGGGTCTTGGGAGCTTACGGATTCAGGAATGGGAGTAACTGAGTCTCAAAGAAAGACTTGAAGTCACAAGGGATGAAACAGAAGCTGCATGTGATGAGCCATCTGGCACCCCTGTTCCTGTTGTGCCCTGGCTCTGGAAGTCAGTACTGATAAGCACCCTCCCAGTCCACGAGGCAGGCCTGTAGAGGTCTCCATAGGCGAGAACCAGGGCCAAATCACATCAGAGATACATGCAAGCTCTATGCAGTCTGTGGGTGGGAGTCAGCAGACTGAAGGTTTTTAAAGCTAGTCTGGGCCAGCATAGTAAATACCAATGTCTGAGAGCTCAATCATGGCCGACTGCTTCTTCCCTTCCACACTGGACTTCTAATACCATGTGACCTCACCCTGTCCCTGTGGCTGTGGAGGGAAGTGGGGAACAAGAGGTGGAGACTGAACAGCACTGGAATGCATTCTGGCCTGGATATCATATGAGCACAGGAACTGGGAGCCAATGGCAGGCTTAGAAAACATGGTGTCCCCGGGCAGAAATCCCCAGCTCAGCCCGGATCCATGACTCAGCCTCCCCACTACTGGGGCTCTCCTTGTGCTGCATCCATCTTGTGATGCTCTGTATGGTTAGAAAATGCTAAAGACAGCCTGTCTTCCTAACCCTCCCATTCAGTAGACAAAGATCCACAGTCAATTGACTTCTAACCTGGAGTGACACAATTTTTCATTCAATTATTTGAGTCCTGTCACCACCTTATTCAGGGAAACATTTTTATGTGTTCTTACCATTTCCAATTTGTCTATACCATCTCCTTTTTTAAATTATTAGTTAGTATTTTTATTTTTATTTTATGTGCATGAGTGTATTACCTGAATGTATGTAGGTGCACCCATGTCCTGCAATATCCATGGAGGTCAGAAGAGGGCGTCAGATCCCCTGGAACTGGAGTTATGGATGGTTGTTAGCTGCCATGTGGGTACTGGGAATCGAACCCAGGTCCTCTGCAAGGCAGTCAATGCTCTTAACCGCTGAGCCATCTCTCCAGCTCCCTATGCAGTCTCTTAAATGGTGATCTGTCCTGCTCCAAGTTTTTACCAATGATAGATATTAAAGGTCCCCTAACCTCATTAACAATGTGACTTTGTACCCAAGGCCTCCAGCAGGATGGTGACAGCCAGGGAGACTGTGTGAGGAGCACCTTCCTGTGCTGGCCCACCTGGCCTTCTGAGACCTCGTCCAGCCATTCTCCTATTTTGTTCTGGCAAATGCTGTGGAATCCTGTCACTCAGCCCCACCCTCTTCCCACAAGCCTGCATTCTCAGACAATTCCACCTCCACCAACAATACTATTTTCCCAGAAGTCATTAACGCTCCTTCTCTGGTTAGAGAGCTCATTATTTAAGACCACACCAAGAAATGTCAGCAGCAGTAATCAGATCTAGGGAGAGGTAGGTTTGGGGGGTTTTGTATGTATTCATTTAATTCTCATAAAAACTTCATGAAGTCTGGGGCTGGAAAGATGGCTCAGCACTTAAGAGCTTCTCTGGCAGCGGACCCAGGTTCGATTCCCAACACCCACATGGTGGCTAACAACCATCCATAACTCCAGTTCCAGGGAAATCCAATGCCCTCTTCTGACTTCTGTGGGCATTGCTCAACATGGACACACTCACATACATGCAGGCAATACACTAAAAAATAAAACAACTTCATGAGGTCATGACTATTATCATAGGTCCATTTTATAGAAGAAGCAGGAAAAAAGAAGCTAATTCCAACAAGGAAAACATGTCAGTGGCTGTTGTGGTGTGATCTTAAAGTGCCCACCACAGGCTCATGTGTTTGGACCTTCAGTCCCCAGCTGGAGGTGCTGGTTCTGTGACACTGTTCATAGGGAAACATAAACAAGAGTCCACTCACCTCAGATGCATGAGAGACCAAAGGATACCACCAAAGTCCAACTGGAGAACCAGTGAGTTTGGAGGGGTTGGTTAGAAGAGTGTGGGTTAGGAGTTGCTTACAGAAATGACTCAGACACAGCTGCATCACCCAAAGTCCACTTCAGTGTGGGAGATGGCTCATGAGGGGGGACATCTGGAGTGCACTGTACAACCTGCAAACAGCTCAGCTGTTGCAGGAAGATCAGGCAGGACAGGAGTGTACATGAAGCAGCTTTTTTTTATTTAGGCTGCAACCTGGATCAGCAGCGAGCTCAAACCTCAAATCTAGACCCTGAAGGAAAGCAGCATGTACCTTTTAGACCTCGGACATTGGGTTATAGTGAGAAGGAAACTTACATGTTGATCAGCTATCAGTACAGTCTCAAAATTATAATTACTATTATAAATTTGGAAAGGAAATAAATGTTTTTTTAAAAAAAATCCTCTATCTGAAAATCAATGCAGAAGTCTCAGTCTCAGACAAAGAGATCTGAGGGAGTTTCATCAGTTCAAGGCACATGGTTCCAGCTAGCTGTGTTTGCACTTTAACCACAAACTTTTCTGTTGAAACTTTGCTGACAGAAATGGAGAAAACAATGATTAAATCCATATTTTCCTTAATATTTCATTAGGCTCTATATCACAACAGGTTGGAGAGTGTCTCTTTCAGGCAGCTCAGCTGGTCCAAGCCTCTTCCAGCAGCTTGGCTGGTCTGAAAGTCTGCTTGGTGATTCAGCTGGCATGAGGGACTCTCTGAAATCCCTTCTGTTTATATAAGCTTGGGGAGAGAGACACCTAGTAAATCTGGTCTGTTTCAGGGACTTCCTGAAGCTATTGAGTGGTTCAGTTCCTGAGCTTAACAGGCTTCCCTGTGGGATGGAATGCTCCACCTCCTTTCTAGAACATTCCGTGTCTTAACAACTTCCCTCCAAGATGGAAGGTTTTAATTTGGAGGAAACTGCCACACAACAGAAGGTTGTGGAACCACAAGGATGTGGAAAGGGTCACTAGGGACAAGTCTTAACGTTTTCTACCCCAGCTCCACTTCATGTCCCTCCTTTGTTTCCTGGCAGTAGACACAATGTGACCAGCTGTCTCATGCCCTCTCAGCCATGCCTTCCTTGGCATCCTGGGCCATATCCATTCTCAAACTGTAAGAGTAAACCCTTCAGTCCTCGGTGCTTCCTGTCAGGTACTGAGAAAGATAAACAACACACTGCAGAGCAGACTTGGCTCAGGCAGGCCAGTGCCCTTTCCTGCCTCTAGAACTCCATGTTTTCTCTCTCATTTCCTACCATCTGTCTTCCTCTCTCTTCCTGTCTTTCACACACGCACACACACACACACACCCTAGTTCAGACTTAACGTCTCTATTACAATGACTTCTTGACGCAATGCTTTTGTACATTAAGCAAGACAGCTGTCTGGGTGCTAAGTTCTTATCTTCATGAGTGGCAAAATCTCAGAAGCAAATACATAAATGTTTTATGGGATTATTCAATGGTTATTTGAATGCAATTACTGCATTTTTGTCAAGAGCCCAGCATCGTGCTGGTCCAGGAGCTGGAAAATTGGCTCAGTGGTTAAAGAGCACTGGTTGCTCTTGCAGAGGACCCAGGTTCAGTTCCCAGCACCCCACATGGTAGCTAACAACCTTCCAAAACTCTAGTTACAGGTGCTCTGACACCACCTTCTTCTGACCTCCATGGGCATTGCATGGCATGGGTGCACTTACATGCATGCAGACAATACACTTATACACCTAAAAAATAATTTTAAAAAAATTTAAAAAGAGTCCAGCATTGTGCTGTTCCTATAAGAAGCAAAGGGGAGATTAGTAGCGGCACTGAGTTTCCACCGTGTGGGGGGGGATGCGTGTGTGTCCGTGCATGCCTGCATGAGTGCTTTGAAACAGCAGCCCCACTGCTCAGACTGAAGCCTAAAAGCAACCAAAACAGCTAAAGCAGGAGCAAGGTCTGAAGAAGTAATTCAGCAGGTTACTTGGCCTTTGTGGAAATGGGCACTTATAAGCCCCTCCAAGCCCACCAGTGATTGGAGGATTTGTAGCAGAGGAAGGTGGTTCTGCCGCGGCAATGTCAACCTCTGCACCCCAGCTACTTATGACATGCTCTGTGAACACCCAGAAACAAATACCAGCGTGCACAGAAAGAAGGACGAGGTTTTTGTCCCTCACAGGCTCACATACTGAATTCTTGGCAGTGGTGTCTGTGGAGGTTTAGGAAAAGAAGCCTGGCTGGAGGAAGCCAGCCACTAGGGGCGGGCTCTGAGATTTCATGGCTTTGCCTCATGTCCAGTTTCTCTCTCTGATCCCTGTGTGAGCTTGAAGATGTGAGAGCTCAGCTTCCTGCTCCAGCCATCTCTGCTGCCATGCCCTCCTGCCATGATGGATTCTTAGCTCTCTGGAACTGTAAGCCCAAGAAACTCTTCCTTCTGTAAGTTGCCTTGATCATGTTTTATCACACCAACAGAAAAGTAACTAAGACAGGGACGAGGAATGAGAGCAGAGACACAGGTATCCTTCTCACAACACTGGGGAAGGGAGACTCAGGCTGCTAGCAGCTTGCCACTACTATATCTAAAAGCAACATCCTCCAAATGGCAGCCTTACCCACTGGCACAGAGTTCCCAGTTACACTTTCCATCCCAGTAAGAGAAACAGGAAGATCTAGACCTGCCAGCCAAGATCCGAGTGGATGGGTTTCACACTAAATAAGTAGCAGGGGTCTCCTCTTCAGATAGGAAAGTGCAACTATCATGGTGGT